TCTGGCCCCACCATCTCGTTTACTCTGATATTTAATATAAACGACGAAACAAACTCTAATCAAAAAATGACTGACCAGTATGACTCAGTAATAGCAAGATATTTAATGTCACTCGCTTAAGTATTTGTATTGTAAAGTGTTGGACAACCATTGTTTTATCTAGATTAATCTCAATAATACATATCTTACAGCTCAATATGAATCACTCGGGTTAAATGATACACCAGTCATATTGATCATTCCACTCCAATTTACGTGTTTATTAGTTCTAGATTTCTAATGCACCACCGCCTCCATACTGGGACGTATTCTTTGTGTCTGGGTTTAGGTCACTTAACAAAATATTAATCTTTTTAGGAAGGAAAAAGAAATAAATACGTGTTAAAGATGCAAATGCATGCATAAAACTCATTAAAGACCAAAACATTAATGTAGTGAAATCTTGAATATCATTTGATCAAGTTCTGAATCATGAGGAGCAGCTGTATATGATTTGTAGGGGCCACTGTTGTCGTGTGCGACATTATTTAATGTAGGAAACGTGATGGTCAGGGGCAAATGTTTAAAACAGGAACCATTGTGCTTAAATGGACATCTTTAAAGGAGCTAAATCGCTAATATTTGGGACCTAGAAATTGACCCAAATGGGTCGCAACGCATATAATAATGTAATCTGATTGTATATAAACTGATTTACATTCAATTGTTTCCGTTTTTACTCTAATTTCAAATCAGTTATGTCAAGCGAAATACGACATAGTCTCAACCGAATAGCAATTTCTAGCGTCTGGTTATTCCACTCTATTGCGCATGTTCGCCAGATAAGATATGGCGTCACCGTTTGACATGAGTTGTGGAATATGTCTAGCCTCGTTCTTTCTGGTCACTTGTTACAAATGACACTGAAACGCACGATGGTACACGATTCGTGTACCAATGGTAAAATATTTATTTTGTCTTAAATATTGGATATCAGAAGCCTACTTGTTCCTGGTAAGATCACAACATCAATGTTGATTTGAACTGACAAATAATTCGTATTTTCAACGTGTAAGACTTTGGATGATATTGATTTAGAGAATTAGCTACTTTAATATAAGTAACATGTGGTCAAAGGACGATGTTTAATATTGGGATCACTGTTGTGATATAAGAACATATGATATGTGAATTGTTCTGTATTGCTGTGTGATATGAAAACATCCACGTGAACATATTGTATATAAGGATTGTATCAATATGGAGAAATAAATCGAATGCAGATAAATTAAAGAATATTTTGGTCCTGATAGAATACTCACTCTGTAATTATAACATGGAAAGTCGAGGTCACATTTTTGTGGTATTTGTGTATACTAGTGTTTATTTTGACTAATAGGACTATGAATAACTCTTAATGTTGAAAATCCCACGGTAAAAATACACTGTGTTCATATTTTAAATTAGCATGACCTTTATAAACCTTTATAAAAGCACGCTAGTATAGTGTCATACTTTTACTATAATTCTGATAAGCCTTCATCTGTTTTGATAGATTTATGTAAAATCACGTCCATCTATATTGGTATACATCGCTGGGCTTCAATTCAACGTTTATGTGGATTAAATACACCTGGAGGCAGACATGTTGAGATGACGTGAACTGACAAGTTATTGGACATCTCCATGCTGGAGAAACTGTCATAAAATAGCAGTTACTGGGATCAACGATGACTTGCAAGTTTTGGTGGCAACAGTCATTATTCTCTTATCCATTTTACAATCCTTTTAGAGTTCTTCCCGTGTACATAAATGCCTTCAAGGTTATGACAGACTAAAGTCAGTGACTGCATAGTAACATAACTAAATTGTGTTCACTCAAATGTCACAAAATGACCCAACCATTTCAATACAGGTAAAAACAATAATTGATATTTTGAAAAGTACACTACCGTCAGAAGTGATTTATGGGTAAAATTGGACGCAAGTATTTAATATATAACGTTAACTGGTAATTATTTTGAATTTCATTGTGGACTCTTGTAATTGGTATACATTAATCTCAGACTTTTCGGCAACCTTTGGTGCTACAGAACAAAATGGTACCCCTTGACCCACGAGTCTCCGTTAACATTGATACCAGATGGATCGAAATTTGGTTGTTAAAAATGGAAGCAAACTTTTTCGAATGGGCGTGCTAAAAATGAATAGTTTAAGTTCCGAAAAGAACTGTATAAGTGACAAGTTTGACAATGGTCAAAAATCATGTTATAAGAGATAAAGGTTGGGGTTTAAATTGTAACTTAGGTTAGAAATGACTTAGGCGTCCAATAAGAACGAATATATCAACATGAAATCAACAGAATAGATTTTTAAATAATTTTGAACAATTTTTGATAAGATTTTATTTTTGTTGGGTGTGATCTGAAATCGCTTTTTTTTCATTTCACCTGAAAAACAGTGATAGAATAATTCGCTTTTCACAACCTCGTGTCCATGAAAATAAGAAGAGACACCTTCAGTACCCACCCTGAAAAATACCACAAGTATTTGCCCATTGTAGTGTCACAACTTTTAGGTTAATCCTTAATATTTTAGACTATAAAACGTTTATAATTGAATGCAATAGGAAACTGTCTTATAAGGTTTTATCAGATGATATCTCTTTGTAAAATGTGTATGCATATTTCATAACCTTTATCTTTCCATAAATAATGAATATAAAAAGACACATACAGTTTCTAGGTATACTCAATGCAAGTAAAGAATAAAGAGGCGAATGATACACGCCTCCGTAGAAAAAAAGGTATTTACACTGAGTGATCGTTAATAATGGGTAAGGTTTTAACAGCAGCCCAAAACCTGTCTTAAAAGAAATTCGCTTATCACGATGTTCTTCATTGACGGCATGCCGAAACATGTCCGTATCGTAGATAATGGGGACGTTATAGACACTTTCTATCTATATCCTATGTTCTCAAGTCTACCGCTACTGACCTGTGACCGTCAACAACGATGAAGATATCTGTAACACTAGACCCACTCAAACACAGTAAAAAAAAATCCTAGCTCTTCAGCTGATCGAGGGAAAAGAGATAACCCCTCTTCAACATCAAATCTCTATTGATAAAGTTAAGGGCGTGGTATTGTCCCACAAATAAGAAGTTATTAAGGTACAGATCTGATTCTTTCTTATGGCATAGAAATAAAGTAACGGCTCATTGGTGTTCAGGAAAGAAATCCCCTTAATTATTGTATGATGATAATTATCTACTTTACTATCGATACTCAAAATTTCGGAGAGCTAACAATAGCACGAAAAAGAATGATAGTTAGCCGTGACAAGTTAGATTGCCAAATCCAAAATATTCACCCGTATTTTGCTTGAACAGTTGCTTATTTATTGTAGGTTAGATGGTTTAGTGGTTTAACGCGTGTGCGTGAAATCACACAAGGTCTGTCAATATCATTGAGTCAAGTGGCGTGGTTTCGATTCCCCACTTGAACGTGGCAAGGAGTAGGGTGGCCTGCCCAACCACCTACTTTTACTTGAATTATTGCAATAAAATTGAAATATATTTTCGTGTCCCGAAGTCACCTAGTTTGTGTGGAGTGTACGCTAACACCCCCCCCCCCCTCTCGCTCTCTCTGCCTGTACTTCTGTCTCTCTCTCTCTTTGCTTATTTATTACGTACTTTGATATTCCTGTGGTATCATTAGAATCATGGGTAATATGGGTAGATAAGACACGATAATACGATCCGCTGACATTTAAATCTGTAGGTTATTTCATTTGGTGGGAGCCGCCGAGGTGGCTTGTTGATTAAGACACTGGCTCGCTAACCAGCAGGTTTCGGTTTCGCTCCCAGTGTTGGCCGAAAAAGTTCCTCGGGTTTTTTCGGCGTGGTTCACCTCGTCAGTGATGCAGGACGGAGTGACTGGCAAGGAACAGGTTCTATGACCAACCGAAGTCCCGTGTTCACGTGGACATGCACGTAAGAGAACAGTTCATTAACCCAGTCGGTGAAGAAAAGTAGAATGTTAAACCCCAATCCATTTAATTTCATTTCATATAATATATGCTTATTCTAAAAACATCTTTTATGTTAAACACATTAAAAACCGCCCATTTCTTATATCGGACATTTTCATTTTCTAATGTAAACAAGAATTGAGAATAGAGCTCATATTGTTATAAATAAGATCAGTGTTGTTTACTATAGGTTTCAGTCAATATTGTATACTGATGAAAATATATTAATAACATAGATATTACATACAATAAACAACACGTTATCGGATTTGAAATCTTTCATTTTTATATTTTTGATATTTGTTTATATAAATCTTCTTTATAGTGGAATAAATGCAGTTAAACTAATATCTCCATTAAGGTCATAACAATGACATCTCAAATTTAAATTAATGCTATAGTTTTGTGAGCTATTTTTTATTCATTTATCGTGGAGACTGGTGTCGTGCATTAGTTGGTTGTAAAGTTAATCTTAACTTTGTTTAGCTATAAATAAATGCATGTGATTAGGACATTTATCGTTTTGTTTCATCATTAATATATGTAATAAATAAAGAAATCGTTAATCAATAGTGTCAGAAATGAGCGTCATTAGTAGAATATTGTAGAGCAATTACGTAAGTTCTAATATAAGGATGATAATGAAGACGTTACGAATGGAGAAGCGTTCCTCATTATCATTTATTCAGATTGCCTAACAAACTCACTATGCCCACACAACGAAATGCATGGATTTTATGTCAATCAATTAAATCAAATTATTGAATAGTCTGACTGTCTGTGATTCACCCACCGTGCTGTCATAATCAAAGTTTGTGCAGACGACCCACAGAATTTGCTTCGTCACGTGATGGGATAGGGATGCCCAAACAAAGACCATCTCTATGGTTACTATAGATACGCCCCAAACAAATGAACAAAGAAAACACTGAGTTCACTTTGTTGTAAATTAATTTCGGATTCAATTCTAGGATCTTTTATTTTTCAGGATTGTAGAAGGATGATTTGCCATCGACGTGACATTAATAGTTTTTTCCTCGGCAAAATTGGTGGATTTTGTTTTTATATTGGAAATGGTCGTGCTACTTTGGAATTATTTCCTTAATTTGGCGGGAAGTGAAGCGGTGTCACGTGCTGTTTCTTTAGGAGTCATTGGGTGAATATAGGAGTGAGTAATAAGCTTTCATACTCTTTTATTCTCTTCTGTCTTAAGACGTGATCAGCGATGACAAAAGCGCTCCTCTAGACTACATTGTCTTTGTTGTGATATCCGATTTGCCTTTGGGAAGTTTATTTCTATATTTTGGTTGTATATTAAATGCGATCTTTGAAGTTAAAACGTTTATATCTCGCATTGGATAGACAACAAATCGTAGGCATAATTTATGAAGATAATGGATTAATCACAATAAATATTTCCCTATAATATAATATGTAATTATTCATAACATGCACACGTCTTCATTAAAAGCTTTAGAAATTATGGATAAGCTAACTAATCATTTCTTATCTATTAGTAATTTATAAATCCATATCAATCCAATATTGGGGTACAATTATGACCAGGTGGGTTGAGGACTATGGAGCCGAATTCATGACATACGTAATTCACACTCTTTAACCAGAAAGGTGTATATGCTTCAATGCATGCACCTTCTTTCTTACATATAGTAAATGGGATATTTGCGCATATGAAAATACTACTTCATATTTTAATAAGGAAAGGCAAAGCATGAATAAGCCATTTGAAAACGAAAACTCTGCTACTAATTGAAGGGATGTAGGATGGTAGTGTATGGGTAAGCGGGGGGGGGGGGGTGATGCAACTTGGTGTAAAGTTTTCATTACATGACTATGTTCGATAACTACCATGTCCTGCTTAGTTTATGCTGTTCTATAATTTTAGTAATAATGTGGAAAATGTATTTCGTGTAAACATTGTATTAGATTATTTGTTGGGTCGTAAAATATCAACTAGTTGGACATAATGTATACAATAAACTGTCAAATATATAAATTGATAGATAAAAATCGTAAGCCCCGATACATGTTTTATTGAAAAAATTGTGTCGTTTCCCAACAGACAAGTAATATAACACGGCTACCTCATTTTATAAGTCTGAAACTACAATATATATCGACAGACAGAGATAAAATGATATAAAAAAACCTTTTATATCTGAGCTAGGATTAAAGCTTTTTACATAATTACGTCATAACAACTGCTAATATGATATGTAAGTAAGTGTTATAAAAAGCAAAATAAATGTATGGAAATCTCACGCAAATAAACATCATGACTCTTCTCCAGACTTTTTATTTTGACTAATGGCAGCTCCACGTCAGTACACCCGCCGTATCTTCCCCCTTTAACCAAGACAAAGAGGTTGTTCTGTTTCTAGAAGTTAGAATATAATGTATTATTAGAGCATCATTGTCAGTAATATCCACTAGTTAATGCACTGCTCTATAATGACTTAAGGATTTTTAGAAAAGATAAACTGAGTTTCCAAATTAAGCAATCGAGATAATTTTTTCATCTCAGTTTATATTTTTGAAGAAATAAGTCAAGATTTATAATAAAGCTGTCGCATTAAAGATAGTGGATTCTATGGGTCCGACAAAAACCTCACAGTCCACATCATGAGTTACAGTGACATGTTGTATCAAAGAAAATATTCAAAAATGTTCATAGTTCAATTTTCACGGTTAAAAATCTAAAATAAAATGTAATAACCTTAGGTATTGAACTTTGAATGTCATTTTCTGAGCTATTGAAACATCGGATGTCCTTAGTTCTCAACTATTGAAACACCGAATGCCATTTTCACAACTATCGAAACATCGAATGTCATTTTCAATTTTCTCAAGTATTGAAACATCGAATATCGTTTTCTCATATTGAAAGTTTTGGTGGGTTTTTAGATTTATGTACAGTTCCACATAAATCGTGAACTAATACCATTAAATGGTCACATATACATTTGATTAATAACTTTACAATATTAGAATATGTCATTTAAAATATCAACATAGGCAGGTAACTAATAGGTAAGATGTATATAATGCATGAGAGATAAAAATGATCATTTTATCATCTTTAACTTTCACCGTATCTGACAACTAGTCTATCAGGTAACATACGTTCTCGCCATGGTGTCATAAAAAATGGCTTTCGTACTGCGATATTCTGCTATGTAAATACACTAGAACGTGTGAGACGAGGAATTTTGATATCCAGTAAACCTCTCTAACACCTCTTTTACACGATATAAGTCGGCTTGATGAACAGTGGTCATAAAGTTATCTCTATATAGTTATAGTTTTTCTTTTCAACATGCCATATTATTTTTCATGACACGAATATAAATTTTACAAAAAAAAATATTTAACATTCTTCATACACATACGCGCATTTTTATTAAGAGAGAGAGAAAGAGAGAGAGAGGGGGGGGGGTGGCGGACCTACAATCCTTCCATATGGCTCAACTGAGAGAGGTTCGACAACTAAAAGAGAACTACATGTACTTAAATTAAGATACAATCGAAATTTTAAGAAATACTGCAATTCGATTGGCTGACCAATATGCAAATTGGATATATGCAAATTGATTTTACTGGTCAGCCAATCGAATTGCAGTATTTCTTAAAATTTCGATTGTATCTTAGTTTAAGTTATGGTGAATAAGGGCCCTGGTTCAAAATTAGGACATAGGTATCTCATAAAACACATAAGAATACTTTTTTTCTCTAAGGCCATTTTTAAGCAGATTGATATTTTCAATAAATAAGATTATTTTCGGCGTACTTCTATATTCAGATTGGTCACATTATAGGTCTGAATAAACCACAAATTAGATTACTTTACATTTGTATTGCGCCTGTACGTTAGCACTCTTCATAGTTTATTGGGATTGCGTGTTTCTTAGAGAAGAGAAATTTTAATGGAACGCAACACTGACGTCAATTATACTCTTACTGGCGACAACGGTTCCGAGATGTCTGTCTTTAAATTCTCTTACCGTATAAAACTTTCCAATTATACTGACTGAATATCATCTTAAACCAAGTTTGAATGGTAATACACCAGCAATCTTAGTCAGTAAAATGTAAATCAATGCCTGATCATGATTTATATCCTTGTAATAATTTGAACAATGATCTCCAGTGGCTTATATGAGAAATATTATCTTTAAAACATTTGCAATTCTTGGCCGTCACATTTTATATAATATATACCCACTCTAATCTCCCAAATTAAAAAAAAACCTAACCCCTATGCCCCCCCCCCCTTCTCTCTCTCTCTCTCTCTCTCTAAATAAAAAAAATAATAACCCCTACGTCCCGCAATAAGTAATGATGGATATATTTACTCCCACAAAATATCCTCTACATTGTAATTAAAAATAACCATATGGAATAACAATTACTTAGCTTTTATTATAGCGAGGTTTCATCTAGGCTTCTCTAGGCTTCACCAGGCAATGTTCTTTTATATAATTGGCATTAAAAGTTTTGGAAATTCGATTTGAAGTATATTGAGAAATGTAATAAGCGCGTTTGATATAATAAATTGTCAATATATCAAACAATGTGTGTGACGTATAACAGGTGTAGAATTCGTTCAACACATATTTCGTTATTTCATGGAATTTTGTTTATTTTCGTCTTTGCTTCTGTATTTGGGTTGGAATAATGAACGTAATGCTTGTATGTCTATGTTTTCCCATGATTCACCTACTAAAAGGTTGGATTTAATGGCTTATCGCTTATGTGCTACATTTGGCTCCTCCTAAAAACTTTTGTCCATGAGGAATACAGAAGGTGCTAAAACCTCATGACAGATCTGGTCGAGATCTAAATGCTCTGAATAGATCTATGGAGTAGCGTTAAAACAAAGCAACTTTTCAAGCCAATGATATCGCTGAAGTAGCCGAAGGCCACATCACAAATGCCAATAAATGACTGGCTTTGTTCACTGTTTGCTGTAAGGAGTAATAATTTTCTGGTAATTATAGCCCTAAATAATAACAGTTTTTCTTTCTTGGCCCCTTATCATTGCCTCGCACAATACCATTTAATCCCCTAACTTACGTAAGACTATTTTCTATTATTAAGCCGGTGTATAGATAATAACACTGGCCATTCACGAGAGATCTTCACACGAATTATTACCCTAATACTTCTAGATTAATGTCTTATTGGACCGGGATGATAAAAAACAATGTTTGTTCTGTGGAAGCGTGCTAGTAGTCTGTTGGTCGTATTATAACACATGGAATTCGCGGGGGTATTATCTTCATAAAAAGGTGATACCTATATTGAGTCCATGCACATAAAAAGACAGGACACCAATAGTAGCTTCACTGTTCGACCTAGTATCTCATGAAGACATCGTATAGTAATGATATCTCTGTGTACCCCTTCATATAAATTAGGATGTAAAATGGAGATAGTCACAATGAACTGGTAAGAAAAGTTATCTGCACACTAATAATAATTCAATAATTGATTATAGATAATAATATGTTTAATTGAATGTTTCAAAGATGTGGGGTTTAAACGCGAGTAACACGCGATCCATATGCGAAACCGTTTTCATTTTAAGGAAATATTTCATTTCATTAGACCACAAACCAAGAACTATGTTTTATGAACGTATTGTATGGCGTATTTGTTGTCTTACAATTACTGCAGGCTTTGTGTAAATTCGTTACTGGTAGAATGGGCTACTGCAAACGAGATATATTCATTTTATATTTTACTATAAGAAAAAAAGTCCGACATCCCAACAGTATTTTTGTAAATTTGTGATCTAGAGAATGCTGAAAATGGGATATATTCATTTTACATTTTAATATAAGAAGGAATTCAAACATCTCACAATATTTTTTACTGTCAATTATTAAAGTGAAAGTGAACAGTCGGTAATGCCAGAGGCTTCATTGTTAGATCCCCACAGTCACACTAAACATGGCTGGTTAAACCAAACGTGACACAACCTTCAAAATAACATTTGAAGGTCTATAACATGATTTTGTTAGACAGGAAACGTTTTTGTTGACTTTTCACTTTGAGAGAAAAAAATAGTAATAAGAGTTATTTCCCTTGGATTTGTTGACCCCCCTGCACGTTTACGATTGGTCGAAATTGACCTTAATTTGCAAAGTTCATGACCCCTGACAATATCAGAGAAGGAAAGTAGGACACTAAATGACAAACGGGCAGGTGAGATTTTTTATTTATAAAAGTAAGATATTGTGAATGTCGACTGAAAATACGGACTTTTTGAAATTAATACTGCGAGAGTTTATAGTCTTGTCAGAAGCTAGATGTTAGCCATTCTTCCCCGGATAACATTTTTTTCTAAATACACAGGTACAAGTGAATGGGTTAGCGCTTTATTACATCGCTTCACTCACCACGTGGCATGTTAAGATTATTTAACGTTATTACAAGTGGGTAATTGAAGAGAGATGACAAGGTATTCTGGTACATTTTTGTTCGTTTGAGAAAGGAGGCGTATCGACCTACCTTTCTCAAAAATATTATACAACATTCTTATGCGTGCATGTACCAATGGGCATTTCTTGTTTACTTTACGGAGACCCAATTTCGAAGCTTTAGGAAGTGATGTAGAAAATATTTCCCTCCGGCTTAATTCTAGCAACGCCCCATTTTGAACATTCGAATTTCAGGTCACGTTTTTTAGAACACCCACTGTATTTCCTTAACGTAGGCCTACTGACTACATTACAGCGATATATATTTTAAAGTTAGTTTATATCAGATTGGATTATGTGTTTGTCAAAACAGTTTTGAACTCAATTATCTAATAGTTTGCCTTCTAAATAATTATATAGTCTTCGTTATTACCATACAATTCGTCAATTGTATGAAACCAACACGTATAATTTCTGTCATGCTCAGCCATATTGAGATTCGAGGAGTATGGTGGCGTATTCCATTTCAAATCAATAAATTAACACTGTTCTCTATTCAGAAATACCATTGTCGGCTTAAATGTTCGATTTTACTGATATCAAATATACTACAGTAGCAGATGTCCATAAGAAACGCGCGTTAGAATAGCAGACGACAGTCCAGATGGCGCTTGGGGTCATGTGTTTGAACTGGGAACAACACTTTTGCATTGGTCATGGTGTAGAACTAATGTCGATGACCAGGACAATCATTATACCGTGTATAAATAGAGATACTGTAATTAGAATCATATAATATAAATCTCAAGCATTCGGCTTAATTTTCTCATTTGAAGTTATTATGTAAGTTAAACTTAGAATGAATGGAATCTCAAAACACAAATAATTAGTACTGCGTTTCAAAAAACGTTATTCATTTCACAGTACATTATTAGAGTTGGTGCACATTACATACATGTACACGTATACAATTATTTTTGTTAAAAGCCAATACTTGATTTGATATCTGTTGTTTATTCTCTTGCAATGTCTGTGTAATTTATGTCTTGTCCTCGGATTTTGTGGTTCTTACAGTTGAAAGACAAGGGAAAGAATAACGTTTATTGAAGTTATTTCTAAACCTATTTTGCCAAGGGTCATTTGGTTGTTCTGATATTCCATTTTTATTTAAAACAGAAAACTGAATACGATAGCAGTGTTAATATACGATAGTAAATATAGTTTAATAACTATTAGAAAACTCTTAAGTGTTGTATAAACAGTTATACATTTATCTACTAATCCCCCCAATATCACCTTCCATTGTTTCTTTGAATATCGAAGTGGGAAACTTGTCGTTTAAGAAGATAAATACTCGTCGAAGTTCATTTTAAAATGGTAATTTGTCATTGTATATGGTATAACTACTAGTGACTGTAAACAAGTTAGTATTAGCAATATTGTAATGTTATCAATAAAAGTAAACATTCAAAAAGAAAACTACAGCTCAATTTATCTATAAATGCTCCTCGTTTTCTTGTCATGCTACTCGAGAAAGGTGATAATAATGAAGTAGTGCTAAACATGTCGAGACGAACATTAAGAGACATAGATTAGATACATGGACGCGGTTCTAAAGGCTACTATCTGGTAGTCGTGCGCACAACGTTTTCACTTGTCAGCTTCCTCGACCCTCTTGAGCTCCCGAATGATAACTTGTTGTCCTACCGTTTCGTAGTTACATGTATTTGTAGTGGAAATACTTTAGAGATAATAAAAAAGTTTGTTATAGAGAATTGATATTTTGAATACACTAAATAATCAATAATATATCATTTCGGCGTGTAATAAGCCAACATAGGATTAACATCTGTGAATATATTATGTAAATATATCGAATAAAAATCGAGGTATATTCGGTGTATATATCGGTACTTTAATGTAGTGGAGTACAAAGAGTGTGGTTGGGGCAGAGGGATTAAGGGCCGGGGGGGGGGGGCACCATTCAAGGATTGGGCGGGGGGAGGGGGAGGGGAATCCAATCAAGGAGTAAAATTAATATTAATTTGTTTGAAATTATGGCTGTGAATTAGAATACAAAGTTAATCTCATCTGTTTTTACTTAATTAAAATGTCGACCTGTCACAAACTTATACGTACTAGGACATACTTAAGTATTATTGCGGGCACACGTTTAAAGAGTTAGGCCCGTACATCACCGACCGAACCTCTGCATTTCACTCCTTTAATGTAATTATGAACAATAATTAGAAATCTACTGAAGTAGAAATCTATAAATTAGACTTCTTGTATAATAATGTACACGGAGAAGATTTTAAAGGAGAGCAAATGTGCAGGAAATTAGAACAACAGTTCCTGTAGAAGAGCGAAGTGTTCCTCATTATAATTAAATAATTTGTTTATCTTTTCCTCATATTACACCCATTTACTTTTCCTAATGCGATAATATGAATAGACTATATTGTTTCATAGTTCCTTCAATAATAAAACGTTATTTAGAATAAATATGCTACATCAACGTTACATTTGTAAAGTTACATTTAAACATAAACATACATTATGCAAAAGCTAAATCTGCCTACTGTAGGTCTTTTATGGGGCCTAAATGTTATATAAACTATTAATTAGACATGTATTAACATGCCCAGACCACAATCAACTCTCGATGCCGTCTGATGGGTCCGATTTTCTTTAGATTTGAATTCGATTTACAGTTCAACGGCCGTTCATGATTAACCGTAAAATTGGACAATCGTAACAACGGTAACAATGCCAATCGGGACTACAGTGTTTATATAATTAGTATTTCTCCGCTCAGAGTGGAATAATTTGACTGAAATTTTCAGCATATACCCGTTTCATTATATATTTTTTTTTAACTATTATAGTCAGGACTGTCAGCTCTTTATCTAATCTTCCAGTTCTTTATCTAACCAGTTTTCTAATCCTAGATAAAAAAAAAAAAAAAAATTTTTTTTTTGGGGGGGGGGGGGTGTACATAGCACGCCAGGTATTCAATCGTTATGGTTATCTTTGTCTTCTTGCTAAAACAGAATGTTTACATTTGTTTAATTTTATATTTTCAGGTTGTAAAAGAGCGACAGAAGATTTTTACAGACCCTTATCATTTCTTCGTCCACATTTTGTGTTTGAAAGATGTGAGATTGTGTGTAATTGATATATACATGTGTCTGTATATAGTGAATGTTTGCATGGTTGTTACATGTAGATACAATTGATAATTAATGTTTGCATGGTTGTTGCAGTTGATAGTGAATGTCTGCATGATTGTAACTACATGACTGTTATAGTTGATAATGAATGTTTGTATGGTTGTAACAACATGGTTGTTACAGTTGATAATGAATGTTAGCATGGTTGTAACTATATGTATGTAGATACAGTTATGCACGTTGTCATTGCTGTAAGTATGTATGCATGTGATTGTACGCGGTATGTGTTGAATATGTTTTTGCATGATGTATGAGCTTGTATACTAGAATGTTTGTGTATTGTGGTAGATTGCATGTTTAGCGAGAATATCTGACGAAACGCCAGATATAATCAGAATGTAATTAATCCAAAATCGAACAATTGCATGAATTTGGCGTTGTTCCATGGCATGACATACAGTGATATGAGTTTAGAACTTGCACGTGAATGACTAAAATCAACTAGTTGTTAACTTATACCTAAACAATTTAATTTATTGCAGTTGTTTTACTCCCCTTCTTCAATGAATCAAGAAAATATTACCTCTGCCGATAAACGCATTGAAAGCACGGGGTGTATGTATATATATATATATATATATATATATAGAGAGAGAGAGAGAGAGAGAGTAATCTCCCTTTACGGTATTAGTACGTTCTCATAAATTTGTTATACACACTTTAAAAGCTGATACTCTAATAACTTAATGTAAAAATATACGTACATGGAAATTAAGATGTATTAATTACAAAAGTTACCAATGCTGATATATGTTAAATATTTAGATTTCAATTTCAGGCGCAAAACGGGCGATACTCTTAGATAGACAAAGGGGGGTTGGATGGCCGAATGGTTAGCGCGAGCGCGTTGTATCATAAGGTCTGTCATTGAGTCAACTGGCGTGATTTCGATTCCCCGGTGTGACAGGGGTAGGGTCGCCTGTCCAACCTCGTGGATTTTCTCCGGGTCCTCCGATTTCCTCCCACTGCTAAAGACCCCGCCGCGCACGCGAATTATTGAAATAAAATTGAACCATATGTTAGTCCCGGAATGACCTAGTTTGTGTCGAGTGGACGTTAAACCCCATTTCTCTCTCTCTCTCTCTCTTTAGATAGACAAGTCCTACCAGAAGATAACCTGCACTTAAAGCTGAATAAAAACCAACTGGATGTACAGAGTGGTGTACAATGTTCTGACAACAAGGGAGATGATAACTTTCACTTATTTCACGTTTCCTTGTCACTTGTTCGTCTCGTCTGATATATAGAACTGGACGGAGAACTGATAAGGGCCTGTGGGTGAGCTTACAGCATTTTGCACACATTTTCATTTTCGTTTTTCCAAAGGTACGTTCGTGTAAAGAGGATAAATGTGTCTCTCCTTAATACATTAATTTGAAAACGTTTCACGTTTCCTTGTCACTTGTTCGTCTGGTCTGTTATATAGAACTGGACGGAGAACTGATAAGGGCTTGTGGGTGACAAACCAGCCATTTGCATATTGCTATAGACATTAATATACCTCAAATATAAAGTTGCTAGTGATTGTTATCCATAAAGTTGTGTTTGTGTTTTATAAATGTTTTCCTATCACTAAATGCCTTACAAACAATAACTCAAATATGTGATAAAGTAATGTCAGTTAGATTTGAGTTTAGAACAGCTTTTAATTGAAAGTCATTTAAAGTATTTATTTCAACTGCCTTGTTATAATCAGAATAATTTGATGTTTTTTTACAGTGGAGGGTGGGGTAACCTTATTATTTCAATTAGATATTTCAGTATTTGAATTCCAGCATTGAGAAGCAGCCTGATTCTGACTGGGATTATAACGACAATGATTAATTTCTAGATGACCCGACACTATTATTATCATTTATATAAAGAATATTAAATAAATTTGTATAATGTAAACTCGTTATATAATTTGATTAATAACCTGGGATGTTCAAAATACTGTAATAAAGCTAAAGTACTTTTTCAAAAACCCAAATAGCTCTTGTTTGTTTTCTTGTAATAAACGTGAGAGAGAAGTGAGATATAAAGTCCACTCGACACAAATTAGGTCATTTTTCGACTAACCTTAACTACAAATTTATTTCAATAATTCGTTGTGCAGATGACTGAGAGAGAGAGAGAAATGGGGTTTAACGTCCACTCGACACAAACTAGGTCATTTCGGGACTAACACATGGTTCAATTTTATTTCAATAATTCGCTTCTGTGTAGGGGTCTTTAGCAGTGGGCGGAAACCGGAGGACTCGGAGAAAACCCACGAGGCGACCCTACTCCTTGTCACGTACAACCGGGGAATCGAAACCCCGCCAGTTGACTCAATGACAGAAGGTATGATACAGCGCAGCACGCACGTGCTAACCATTCGACCATCCACCCCCCCTCCCCTCCCCTGTGCAGATGACAGTATTCCTTGTCACTTACAAACTCGGGATCCAAACATGGCCACTTGACTCTCTGACAGACCCTATGATCTAACACGCACCACTAGGCTACCCCAATAAATAAGTTTCCGGGGTATTGACCGGTCGGATAACGATATCCCGTAGGAACGCACTACAAATTGCGTTCAAGACATGGGACCCGAAATTTTTCCCTTAAGGTCCCCCAATGAATAATACCACCAGAAAATGTTTTGAAGAGGAATTAGTCCTGCATCGGGTTTACAAGATGATAAAGTTAAAAGGTGAATAACAACGACATTTACTAATCGAAAATTCTGATACTCAATGGGATTCATCAACCAATGAACAATTCCACACATGAGGACTCTTCCTGTATCGCATTCACATGTTTTACTCAAACACGTTCACAATTTACGGTCCTCGATATAAAATCCCTGTGCCACCATTGTCATATGATCTTTACGAAATTTATAGGTTGTTCGGTTCGATACAAGAACGATCCATAATGAATCTTTAGAAAATTGTAATTGCCTTACCTCTTCATTCAATATGTGATGCCCACAAAGGCTATTGGAGGGGGGGGGGGGGGGTAACGTCTACTAGACATAAACCAGGCAATTTCATTACCAACACATGGTTCAGTTTTATTTCAATAGTTCGGTTGCGCGTATTGGTCTTTAGCAGTTTAAGGAAACCGAAGGACCCGGAGAGAACCCACAAAGTTGGACAAGTTACCCCCCCCCCCCCCTTGTCACTCAGACTGGGAATTGAAACCACGCCACTTGATTCAATGACAGACTCTATGATATAAAGCGCATGTTTTTATTCTCTAAAATTTGAATGTAGCCTATTTGTAAAAAAAAATGACTTGTGAAAACCCTTTGAGCCGCAATTATTGACTCTGTTATTTACACAATACGAATATCAATTTAATAGGCCGAAGACGTAGATTAAACAAAGATTCAACAACTTACCAGTTAAACTTCTGGAGTTATGTCCCTTGATTATAAAACGGGTGTAATTCGAAACAAAAGACACAATCATTTATGGAAATGAAATGAAATTGGGTTTAACGTCCTACTGTTCTGCCCCGGACTGGGCTAATGAAGACGGGCATACGCCATACAGTGTGCTATGAGGGAAATTTTACCGGACGGCCTACTCTTATATCGAATGCCAACTGTCAAGGGATCTTTTATGTGCACGCCAATGTTTACACGGGACCTCGGTGTTTCGTCCATTCCAAACAACTAAACAGCTGTCCTTATCAGACCCTCCGTCCTGCATCACTGACAAGAGGGGGGCCACGCCGGAAAATCTGGGTGAACTTTCTCGGCCAATGCAGGGATCGAACACCCGACCTGCAGGCTAGCGAGACAACCCCCCCCCCCCTCCAATCATTTATGGAATACAATCGCTGGTTTGTTACATACATAAAGTGGCGGCGCCGCCGGTGGTTGGAGGGGGCAAAGCTGGGGCAAAGTCCAAGGTTAAGGAGGCAAAGGCACGAGCTTCAACTACTGGTGTGTGTGGGGGGGGGGGCTCCAGAAATTTTAGAAAAACAGGCTGGCGGAAATGCAGCCTGGCATTATTTAAGGCACTGATCTTTGAGATAAAGAGTCAAACGACCTAACCTCGACGAAGCCCACTCACGAGCGCCAAAGTAGGGAATTCTTACAAGGGTATTGGGACCTCCCCCAGAAAATTTTGAAAAATAGATTGTCGGAAATGCTGTCTGACAGTATTTAGGCACCGAATGTCGAGATAAATAAAGCTGATCAGATACCGTCTGTCGCCTGATCACTAGTCTATCCGACCCCACAGAGGAAAGTGTCAAATGAACGGACTTGCGAACCTCAACGAAGCCCCCGAAAATTTGAAAAGTAGACTGCCGGAAATGCAGTCTGGCAGTATTTCAGGCACTGATACTGATCGTCGAGATAAATAGAGCTTACCAGATACCACCTGTCGCCAAATCACTAGTTTATCCGACCAGAGAGGAAAGTGTCAAACGGACGGAGTGAGCTGACCAGATACTGTTCGTCGCCAAATCACCAGCTTATCCGAACAGAGAGGGACATGTCAAAAGAACGGAGTGAGTGTATCAAGTGAATGCATATTCTCGCCGCTTTGAACCTATATACCCAAAAATTTTGAGAATCGTATAAAGCACTTCTCAAGTGGTTCCCGTGTTATTGTTTATGTAGGTTTACAGCAGAATGGATGGGCTTGGTAAGAAATCACTCAGACTCTACAACATGCAAGTCTATGACTGAGTGGGGATGTGGGATTTAATCACCGTAGAAGGTATTGATTACCGAAACGTATCACAAGTAATTTTTTTTTATTTTCCAAAATAATTGGGGAGGGGGGGAGGGCAAACAGAGGGCAGCCGCCACTGCATACATATAGGACGAAATTTCGATACGCGCTCTCTTATTATACTAACGTATAGTTCCTGACTAACTAACATATTCACTCATGGAGAGTGTATATGGACTAAGGGAGGAAACTACATTTTGTTGCCGAAAATAATGTATCCAATGTGTTAAGATTGAGGAATCCTACCTCTTCCAATCAAACAAATGTGTCCATTTATATCGCACCAAATCATATACAAAAGTTCTTTGGTGTGAAGTTTTTGTTAATTTTTGTAATGAATTTTGAAAAGATGAGATTTTGAATGGTATTTTAAGTCTTAACAAGCCAACAGTGAGGCTGATGTCCCCCGCCGAAATAGGAAAATAATTAGAGGACACATATAAATTTATCACAAATTATCTTTTACAAAGTATTGAACAATCAAACAGTATATCTTTAATAATTAGAGGACACATATAAATTTATCACAAATTATCTTTTACAAAGTATTGAACAATCAAACAGTATATCTTTACTTATAGTCTAAGCATACAATGTTTTTGATGGAATAATTATAGCATATTAAGGGGAAAACATGCTCTATGCCTACAGATCTAGAGTTTGGTTGTATCAACGGGTCTATTTTCCATCTTGCTGCAAGTTGTGCAAAGTTCACTGTTTTCTTTCTGTCATTAAATGTCAATTCATTATTGCATACTACATATTTAATTAATTTATAATAGTTTCTTTTTCAATTTGTTTTTTCCATTTATTTGTTTATTTACCTTGCCTATATTCATTGTATTGGATTGTATTGGAATTGCTCAATTGATGCTTTTATCAATACCTGGTTATAATATTATGACATGTAATGTGGCAAGTTGAGTCGGGACATGTAGGCTATAATGTAACCTAAATGTATACATAAGTGGATTTCGTTTCATTTTTTTCGAAAATATTGTACAGATAAAAGAGGAGGAATTACAGGGGTAATACATTGGAAAGCTTCTTCAAGAACTAAAGCATAAACTATATAAACGAGCTTATAAAAAGGAAAAGTTTGTATAAAGACGTTTCGTTTGCACAACTGGGTGATGATAAATCACGTTTTGTCTTTCTAGCAGACGACACCGTTTTACGGCTCTGCTTACCCTAAGCGGAAAATGCTCATCTTCGAACTCCATCAAGGCATTGACCTAATCAACACATACACCAAGTTTGAACATTCTAGCTCAATTAGGAAGAGAGTTATCGTGCCCCAAAGTATCAACCAATCAAATTGCTTATCTCTGCTTACCCTAAGCGGAAAATGCTCATCTTCGAACTCCATCAAGGCATTGACCTAATAAACACATACACCAAGTTTGAACATTCTAGCTCAATTAAAAGTTATCGTGTCCCAAAGCATCAACCAATCAAATTGCTTATCTCTGCTTACCCTAAGCGGAAAATGCTCATCTTCGAACTCCATCAAGGCATTGACCTAATCAACACATACACTAAGTTTGAACATTCTAGCCCAATTAGGAAGAGAGTTATCGTGTCCCAAAGCATCAACCAATCAAATTGCTTATCTCTGCTTACCCTAAGCGGAAAATGCTCATCTTCGAACTCCATCAAGGCATTGACCTAATAAACACATACACCAAGTTTGAACATTCTAGCTCAATTAGGAAGAGAGTTATTGTGTCCCAAAAAGTGTGACGGACAGACAGACGGGCAGACAGACAGACGGACGAACCCATTTTAATAGTCCCCTGCTTTCTTCGAAAGGCGGGGGACAAAAAAGGTTTAAATGGAAGTCAATTTCATTTTCTCGCAGCGGGCATCAACAAATGCTGACAAGAGGTTTTAATGGTATTGTTTTGTTGGTAGAACTACCCATACAAATTAAATTTTGTACTATTTAGCAGAAACTAGTATGGTCAGTTCCCATGAAATGACAACACAAAAGCAACCATTAAAGAAGTGGATTTATGCACTGATAATACATAATGTCCCCAGTGTTGGTAATATTTTTCCACATCGGGCATCAGCAAATGCTGAACGGAGACGTTGATGGTATTGTCTTGTTGGTAGTGTGTAATTACGCATACAAGTTAGGTTTCATCCAATTTAGCATGAAATTATTATGGCCAGTTTAAATGAATTGATAATACAAAAGCTACTATTAACGAGAATGGATTTAGGCACTATTAACATACT